GAGTGGTTCTCAACGGAAAACTACCTGAAAGCCGATCGAGGAGAGGAGAGGCGGATATTGAAAGAGAAGATGACTCAATGCAGAGATACACAACAGGAGGAGAAACTCAGTTCAATGAATAATTACCGAATAAAAAAGTGAGGAAGGGTGCTAGAAAAAACAAAAGATAATTCTACGACACACTCGCGATAGAAGCAGAACAGGCGGACCACAGGTAAAAGTGACCTCAGAACATTATATCTGACAAGCAGGTCAATCCGTATCCGGGAAGAGATCAACTCAGCTGATGAAACCATGGCGATGTTGGATCGTAAGATTAGTGCTGAGAAATTACACCGGACTGATCAAGGCACTCTATTCGAACTGATGCAGCCATGTTAGGGCTTATGGAGAGTTGTCATCTGAACTGATGACAACCAGTGTTAGAGATGCCTCTTGTTGTCACTTTGTATAATTTCATCATAGATGTACTAGTGAAGTTGACACTTACTGACTTTAGGGACTTAAGGATTCACTTGTTACCAAGATATTGCCTTGTTGATCTGGAATGTGCAGATGATATTGTCCTCCTAAAAGAAGACTCTGGTAAAATGCAGATACTTTTGAATGCCTTGAGCAACAGTCTTCAAATGTTTAGCATATGATTTGCTCCTATCAAATGTAAGATGGTGTGGCAGAAATGGACTGCACCAACTTCTAGCTTCAAGATAGGGAGTGAAATGGTGTCCGAGAGTGTTGACCACCTCACTTATCTGGGAGGTTACATCAGCCCCAATCGACTGCTTGTTGACAAAATCTCAGTAGGGACACTAAAGGCTTGTCTGGGATTAGTCAGAACACGTCATCTCTGACGCAGACGTAATATCCGGCTATCGATCAAAGGTCGTATGTATTGCTCAGCGGTTAGCCTTTTCCTTCTTTATGGCTGTAAGAAGTGGTCAATGAACATAGATGTCTGTGTTCTATCTTCCGAGTTAAATATCAAATATGGTGAAAAATATCCAGATTATGCGTATACTGTGGGTAAGCTACTCAATTTAGTTGTGAAGGTGACTGGATTAAGATGGATGGGACGCATGTTACTCATGTCAGAGTAATATCAGTGAAAGTGAAGTTGGGTTAGAATAGAGTTAAGGGTAGTCATACCAAAACCTGGCATCAATCCATTTAACAGTATTTAACAGTTGGTGTAAGCCACCCTGGGAGGTGTGGACTGCCTTGTTGGATTTATTCAGATGTTAAGAACCAATGACTGGAGACTATTGGTGATATGTGTCAAAATCGTTGTCAGTGGCGCATATGCGCTCAGTTTTTATGATCTGCTTTATAGACTAAACGGTCATATTTTTCCATGAGCCATTTCGGGTTATCATAGTTCTTAATCACTTTCCAATTTTTTGTCTACGTTTCTATGCTAGATGGAGGTTGTCAGCTTGCACTGCTGCACTTCTTTGCTAATTTCGGTGTTGAAACTAAGTCAGTCAGTGGGTGTTGAATCGTGACATGATCACGCATGGAATTTTGTTCAATGAATGGGACAAGAATGTGATATTGATTCAGTTTTGACCTAAATTGGCCACAACAATTAAAAGGATTAAGTAGAGTTTGTTCTGCAACAAGTAAGGAGAAGACAGTTGACCCTAAGATTATGGTAGTAAAAGAGAGAAATTGGATAAAACATTTCCGAACACAAGTTCAGGTGTTTTCTTATGGATTGCCAGAACTTCGACTAAATGAAGAGGATGCAAGTGAAATCATCTCGAACACCTTAATCCTATTCATATATGGCTCTAAACGAAGAGTCTTCTGATGCTGCGTGACTAGAAGTAATAAAGTGTTCTAGAATTCAGCTTTCAACCATTCTGCGTTCTTCTTTCGAACGTTTTATATTGATATTAAAATGAAAAATGAAACCACAAAGACAGATTCTTACACATCTTTCATAAATGTTCACTATAAGCACCACCAGAATAAAAGCTGTTATTATGAAAACTCAGGGAAGTTAGATTTTTGAGTTCGGGGTTCAAAGCTAAGGTTTCCCATCCAAACGCTGTACTCTCAGCTCCGTTTACTGCGCGACCTTATTTCATTATAGGATTCTTAGTTTTCTCCAGTACTAGTCAGGAATTCCAAGGTGGGATTTCCGCTTGCGGCAAACTTGGCATCAGCTATCAAAATGACAAATTATCTGGATTTGTCAGGCTTTCTGTGTCCATTTTTTTATGACAGGTACACGCGATGAATCAGCCAGTGGGGCAAGCGGATATAGGTTACCACATTGTGTTTGAAATCATTTTCATCTCACAAATATCTGTGATATAGTTCAGACATGCAACCTCTAACTTTAGAACAAGTGCCAATAGTCACCAACAAAAGAAGAAATGCCGAATGCGATCAAGCTACTGAAGTCCAGCTCTGAAGGCAGCAGGACCAGACGGCATTCCTCTCGAAGCACTGAAGACGGTCGCAGAGATTACGACTGATGTTCTCACTCCATTGCTGCAAAAAGTTTAGAAAGAAGGAAAGGTGCCTAATGATTGAAAGAAGGGCTACCTCGTCAAACCCAGTTAGGCCTGTGCAAGAACTGGCGTGGAATCATGCTCCTGTCGACGCCAAGTAAAATATTTAGTCTCATCATCATGGAGAGAATAAGGGATGCATTGGATACGGAAATCCGCCCCACCGACCAGAACAAGCTGGATTCACGAAATGCGAATCGTGTGCTGATCAAATTTCAACTCTACGCATCGTCATCGAACAAAGCATAGAATGGCAGTCAAACCTCTCTCTACCTCAACTTCATCGACTTCGAAAAGGCCTTCGACAGACAGCGTCTACCGAGAAGTAATTCGGAAACTGCTTGGACACTGCGGCGTACGGTTCCCAATTCTTCATCAACCTGATTCAACAGCTATATGACAATGCCATGTGTCAAGTGATCCACAATGGAAAATTCAGCTAGGCATTCAAGGTGAATACAGGATTCAGACAAGCTGGCTGTGTATTACCACCGATGACTGTTGAGGTTGAGGAGTCAGGAATTCGCTTGATCACCGCTAAGAAGACTCTAGAAGATCTGGATTTCGCAGATGATATGTATCTAATGTGGCACAAAGTTGAAGACTATCAAGCGAAAAACAACAAACTGGCTGCAGAGGCAGCCAGAAAAACAGAACTGTAGGTGAACACAGAGAAGGCGTAGGTGATGAAGATAACCGACAACCAGCACCAATCACCACCAACGGGAGAGATTTACCAGAGGTTGCCTCCTCCACTTATCTGGGGAGCATCGTTTCAACTACAGGTAACCGGCACGGACGAAGATGTCAGAGCCAGTCAGAATCGGAAAGACAAGCAAGATATGCCTTCACCAACCTGACACCAGTTTGCAAATCTTCGACACTCAGCCTGCATAAGGAACAAGATTCGCATTTTCAACACAAATGTGAAGTCGGTTCTTCTACACGGGTCAGAAAGTTGCACTGCGTGTCACGAAAAGGATTTCCAACAGGTTGCAGACTTTCATCAAAAGCTGCCTTCGCTGGCTACATACTGAAGATCGAATGGCCAGAAAGAATAAGCAACAACAAACTATGGGAACAAACCAACAGGCAAGAGCCGATCGCTCAACAAATATGTAGGAGAAAGTGGAGATGGATCGGGCATACATTAAGGATGCCGCCGAATGACATCGCACACCAGGCCATTGCTCGAGTGGAATCCAAATGGGAATCGACGACCGGGTCGTCGGTGCGATGGTGACATGGAGGAGATCGTCTGGCGAGGAGGAGGGGATGAGAGATTATGACCAATCGTGGACCCAGCTGAAGAGGACGGCAGAAAACAGCACAAAGTGGAGATGTGTTGTTGAAGCCGTTTGTTCCACTCGGAATGCAAGGGAATAATAATAATTTATTGGCCCCCAATCTGCATGTCATGAAAAAGAGTTGAATTTTTCAGTCCATGAAGCACATTTTGATGCTCATGACGAGGATGAATAAAGTTTTCTCATCTGCAGAATTTAACTAACTTAATGTAATCACCTAGGTGGAGAAGAGATAACAACTATCCACACTTCTATCTGAATCACTCAGTATTCAGTATGTTCAGTGAATTACTTACAACTCAGCATGTTTGCAAATAATGAATATTATGCGTATTTTCTCATGAAATCTGACCTAATTTTATCAAAATCATAGTTTCAAATCGTATATTTATTAACAAAGACACATTCTATATTTCCATGACCCTTTGAAATTCCACATTTATGCACACAAACAGTAAAAGATTTCTTCCTGAAACTCAATCTATAAACATTTTCGACTGATTTTTCTACCCTTAAATTCATATAAGGCTTCAAACGGCGAATTTATAGTTTATTCGATTGGAATGGTATTTTTAGTATTCGTTAAGTACTCCAATCTCTGAAACTAGAAGCTCATTTACACAAATTCTCTATTGTTATTTCATTCATCATGGAAACGAGTATGTCCAAGTCGGTCGTAAAGCATTTCTAAAAAGTTTATATTCCTTCTAACATTGCTGTTTATCAGCATGTGTGAAGTGTGTTACTTTTCACGTTTAGGTTCAATAAAGTATCCAATAACTGGAGACATTTCCCGTGCATATAAAACTCAACAAACACCTTTTGGTTGTTTTCCTATTAGGGACGATTATTTACAGTTAGTAGCACGTTTACTCATGATGCAGCTAAACATCTTTATATTTTTCAACGACACTTTAAATTGGCGAGAAATTTGGTTAAGCGTAGCAGTGAACTCAAAAGCCTTAACTTTTCCAGGATTGTACCGCATCAAGTAATCTACAAGGCCCAACTACATATCCGATTCAAGTCTTCAACTGTTGATATGAAATGAGTTAGGTACTCTCGTCTCACACTGGACGTCTGACAGTAGGAATGCAACCCTGGTCAATATAACGTTGCATTAGCCTCCGATTGGACATGGTGTCTAGAGTTCACTCACGAGTTCGAGTCTGAACGCTGATTAACTTATTCTTGGCAGAATTCATTATATAAAACCACAAAGATAATGGCATAAAACACTACACAGTGACTCTTTATATAATTTAGAAATTGCATTGAGATGTTCCACCACCTAGTTTGTTACATTGAAAATCAAATGCTAATAACTGATTTAGTATTGTCTCGTGGAAAATAGTATAAGTATTCCGACTAGCTGAAACTGAAATTAAGAAGAAATAAAAGTACAAACAAGAAGTACTATTGATCACTTAACAGATTACAAGTTATCAATATTAGTCGCGGAAACAAAAGCAGAATCAAGATAGGCTTTAATCAGACTATTAGTCTGACAAATAAAAACATATACACAGTAGGAAAACGAATATTATGTAGTGACCGATTAAAACCAAATGTACATAGACAAATGAAAAAAGCGTTAAATAAAGGATGTAAATTATTACGTTTGTCTCAACAGAAAGGTAGAAAGACTATCAGAAATAAGTCAATCGACAAAACATGCCTACCTAACCTAGTAGACACGTTAATTATGCTCACAACGAGATAAAAATTACTGACGACGGAGAATATGTGAAATGTAGATAAGTAAGTAAGTAAGTAAGTAGGTAAGTAAGTAAGTAAGTGAGAATTTAAACTGATGGGTTATATACAAAAGGTATCCATAGCAGATATAAAACAAATTCTTCCGTAAGTGATGTACATAAATAGAAATAATGCAGTGGATATTTGCAAATAAATATAATTTCGTCAAAATGAAGAATGGTAAAAATTGGGAAATAAAATCTCATGAAAATAATATACATATTTACAAAATTAAAATTTCTAAATTAGAAATATATTATATTATAACATAATACATATTATTTATAACATGTAAATAAAAGAAAAGAGTAATGATATTATCATCACATCAGGTTAGTTGTGTAAGTCGTGTGTATTGAAATCTCGTTCGACTGTGAGAGATATCGAAAACAAATAAAACAGTATGATGATTAATTTTGTTTCGGGGAATGTAATTTCAATTAAAAGCATATTGTGTTGTTGTCGATATTCAGATATCTAACTCAATATCTGAATGAATTAAATAATACATATCATTATCAACAGTAAGATCCATTCTGGTAGACATTGTATATAACATAGTTAGCATTGCAGTCAAAATTGAAAGCATATATTATTATTATTATTATTATACAAAAACAAACGTTGTATATGACAAGCTGCCATAGGAGTAAAAAAAATACATGATTAAAGGAAAGAAATGACGAATAAAATCTTTGATACAAAAGTGAGGATAGGGATGATAGGTAAATATAAACTAATATATTATTTTATTCAGCGAATACAGAATAAACTTTTAAAAACCTGGGAGTTATTTGTTTCAGTTTTTTGCTTGCAGAATAATGCACATGATGCGCTATTCAAATTGTGAACAAGATCTATTGGCCTATTGGTTGAGAATTTCGATGAAGATTAATAATCAGGATCAGATGGTTCAGACTCATCAGCGGAATCACTTTCCTCTCCACTTGAACTGGCTGCCATCTATAAGAGACAATAGTTAGAACAACAGCACAGTTAGCGAACAAACAAATATCCTGTGTTAATTTATCATCATCACCAAAACAAAGTTGTTGTCATAAAAGAAACTTTAATTCCATAAATACAGAACGCTCTGCATTCCGCATATACATCCATCCCTTTGGCTTGCTGAAATGTGTCATTAAATGTAATTTCAATATTCACAAGCTGACAAAAATGCTTCAAAGCAAATGTGTATTGTTGTCACTCAACACACTACGAATCTTAAATAAATTTATACGACTAGGTACCAACCAATCTAATCAGTGTAATGTCTACTATTCTTTGAATACTGATAATAGACAAAAGTCAAAAGATCAGTTTATTTAGAGACGATCGCTCTAAAGAACAGCATATAATTATCAGTTGATACGATATTATTCAGACAATAATTTAAGAATCAGCAGGAGAGATAAGACTGAGCTAAAGGCTCAGTGTAGGTGTCCACTAAACATTCCCGGCCGACAACTGCTACCTTGCCGTGGTGGTCCAGGGACTTGAATACCGCAGTGACCCAACAAGCTAAACTGGCTGGGACTCATGTCCCTCCCTGCAGGTCCTACCATGTCAGGAAGGTTGTTTGGATAGCGGTTAGACTAAAAGCAGTTACCATGGGATACATGGGCTCCAGAATCCAGTCGGATCAAATGGTGTATGAACCCATGTGGGGCACCGGCAACCATGGGAACGCTGCTCCGCTGCCTTGCGGATTAGACTCCAAGTCAAAGGCTCGGCGAGTGGTCCCTTAAGAAAACCACCTGCTTCGGTCTGGGCGCCCCGGCAGTATCTCAGCCCTCACACAACAAATGAAATAAAACAACAAACTATTATTGAAACTCACCACGCGCTCGTAAAAATTATTTCGAGAAATAATGATACCTCAAGCAACTTATGTCCTTTCAACCTTACTTTTGTTTTTATACTTAGATTCCTGTATTTTACCTTGGCTCACCTTCTTAACCTTCGACAGCCTTTCGCCTTTGTCTGGATTCCTAGCCTATCTGTGTCGTTTCGAGATGTTAGTGAGTAATCCTCAAAATGGTTGTCTCCAATGTGACATCTAACACAGATATCCTGAAACCGTGTGCCGCCTTCAAGCTGGCCACCTACAATGTTCGGACGCTGATGCAAATCGGACAACAGGCAGGGTTGGTAAGAACATTGGAAAGCCTCGCTATCGATGTCTGCTGCATTTTGGAGACCCGCATTCAAGGTCCCAGTGAAGTGCTTCGATTATCCTCTTCATCTGGAAGTTCTAGTAGTATGTACCACCTGCGCTTGTCCGGGGACCCTGTGGCGTCGGCATCCGGCGTAGCTGGTGTCGGTGTCGCACTGAGCGCTAGAGCCAAAGCTGCATTGCTCGACTGGATTCCCATTAACAGTCGCTTATGTGCTGTGAGGCTGGAAGGTTATACGGAAGTAAGGAGTAGTAGGCCAGATAGGCGGTGTCTATTTGTTGTCTCTGCCTATGCACCAACGGATTGCAGGGAGGATGCAATGAACGATGATTTCTACCACCAACTTAGCGATCTCTTGAGGCAGGCGGGTCGGAGGGATATCGTAGTGCTGGCTGGGGACTTGAATGCACAGGTCGGGCGTCTGAGCTCAGAGGAGAATAGTCTAGGTGATCAATGTGGCCTACATGGTCGCAGGTCAGATAATGGGGACCGTCTTCTGCAAGTTTGCGCGGATCACAACCTATTTCTAGCCAGCACCAACTTACAGCACAGCCATCGACGTAGGGTTACCTGGGATCCTCCCTCTGCGAATCAAGCTTGGACTCAGATTGATCATATTGCTGTCAGTTTCCGGTGGCAAGGATGCATACAAGACTGTCGCTCTTTCTGGAGCACATGTCTGGACTCCGATCATGCACTAGTGTGTGCCAAGTTCGTCTTGCGATTTGGTGGGGTTCATAAAAGGCGTCGTCTAGACGTTGATGTGAGCAAACTAGTAGCACCTGCTACTTCTTTGAAATACCAGAAAGAGTTACAGTCAATGCTTGCCAGCAACCCCCCAAGTAGTATAGATGAACATTGGCTTCATCTGCAAGGTGCCATGCAAACAGCGAGTGTAGCCGCTTGCGGCTTGATAGAATGCTCCACCAAAACCCACTGGGTTCCTGCCAGTTCCTTGCAACTCCTGGAAGAACGTCGGTCCATTCCGACTGGCAGCGAATACAGCAATAAGCGGAAGGCACTGACGCGCAAGAGAAGACAGTGTTTACGTAAGGACCGCGAAGCCTGGTGGTCAGAACGTGTGTGTGAGATGTAGTCAGCTGCTGCATCTGGCAACAGTCGGAAGCTGTTCCAACTCATCCGAGCCACCGGTAGCAAGAAACAAGGTGCCAGCGAGACGGTCTGTGAGGCAGATGTTATTATATTTTTCGTTTAATTCCTAGAGGAACATAGGGCTTCAGCCGCGCCTCTCCATTGCGTTCGGTTCTCTGCTAGAGTCTTCACCTGGCTCCATGTCTGCCCACACGCCTTCATCTCCTCTTCACATGACCTCCTCCAAGTAACCTTTTGACGACCAACCCGCCGCTTCCTTTTCGGGTTCCACTCAAGGGCTTGTCTAATGATGTCACTTGATGGTTTCCTCAGAGTATGGCCAGCCAATCCACCTCCATTTCTCCCTGCCTATTTGTTTCACAATCGGTTCCTGCTGGGTTGGTTCGCTCCCAGAGATCTCTGCTGCTGATCTTCTCTGGCCATCTGATATTGAGTATTGAGCGAAGACAACTGTTAGTGAAGGTCTGTAGTTTGTTTGAGATGCTCTTTATGACGCGCAGTGCAAGTCTCTGATCCGTATAGTAGCACTGACTTCACATTGGAGTTGAAAATCCGGATCTTATTTTTGACGCTGAATGCTGTTGACGTCCACACAGACTTGAGAGTAGTGAAAGCTTGTCTTGCTTTCCCGATTCTTGCTTTGATATCCTCGTCAGTTCCGCCTGTAGTTGAAACGATGCTTCCAAGGTAGGTAAAGGGGGTTGTTTCTTTCAGGTTCCTCCCATTTATGCTGATTGTTGTCAGTTGTTGTTGTTGCTGTTGGTGGTGTTGCCCAGGAATTTTCATCACCTCTGTTTTCTCTATGTTCACCTGAAGTCCTATCTTTGATGCTTCTTCTCCTAACTTGTTGCTTTTCGCTTGCATGTCTTCCAGTTTGTGGGAAATCAGACATATATCATCGGCGAAGTCCACATCCTCCAAGTTTTTTGTGTGAGTCCATTTTATGCCTGTTTCCTCATTGCCCGCTGTTTGTCGCATTATCCAATCTACTGCAATCAGGAAAATCATTGGTGATAGTAGGCAGCCTTGTCTTACTCCTGTCCTCACTTAGAAGGATTCCGTAAGTTTCCCGTTGTGGATTACTTGGCATGCAGCATTGTCGTACAGCTGTTGGATGAGATGTATAATTGTCGGTGGCACCCCATAGTAGCGAAGTAGTTGCCAAATCACCTCTCGATCAACGCTGTCAAATGCCTCTTCAAAGTCGATGAAGTTGAGCTAGAGAGGTGACTGCCATTCCAAACTTTGTTCAATGATGACCCGTAATGTGGCGATCTGATCAATGCATGACTTGTTTCTCCTGAATCCAACCTGTTCCGGTCGAAGTTTATCATCCAGAGCTTGTTTGAATCTCTCCAGGATGATGCGGCATGGTGTTTTGCTTGGGATAGACAGGAGCATAATTCCGCGCCAGTTCTTGCATTGACTTAAGTCTCCTTTCTTTGGTAGTTTGAATAAGTATCCTCTCTTCCAATCCTCGGGTACTTCGTCATCTTTCCACACCTTCTCCAGTAGTGGCATCATCAAGTCCGCTGTTGTCTCTGGACCCATTTTCAATGCTTCTGCTGGGATTCCATCTGGTCCTGCTGCTTTTCCAGCTTTTAGCATCTTGATTGCCTTCAGGACCTCTGATTTCGTCGGGGGGTTGGTGTTCACTGGTAGTTCTGTCTCTGTCGTTGGTACTGTTGGGCGCGTTGTAGGTGGTGGTCGGTTTAGGAGCCTTTTGAAGTGTTCAGCCCGGTGTTTCCTTTGCTCCACATCTTTGATGATTGACTTACCATTGTCATCCCTCACTGGCTTGATTTGTGTCAAACTTTTGCCCGATAGGTTCCTAGTTGTTTGGTAGAATGTTGCGAGGTCTCCTTTGCCTGCAGCTTGTTCTGCTTCACTTGCCATGGTTTCATAATACTTTCTTTTGTCTTCTCTGGCACTCTTCTTTACTCTTTTGTTCAGTGTCTTGTAGTTTGCATTCAAATCCTGTTTTCGTTGCTCGTCGGTGAACTGGAGAATCTTTTGTTTCACCATCCCTCTCTCTTCTATCAGTCTCCAAGTGTCCGTAGTGAGCCATTGTTTGTCCTGTCTCCTCTTTCTGCCTAGAACTTCCATGCAGGTTTGACTCCACACTGTCTTCAAGTTGTTCCAGTGCTTTTCGACGCTGACCTCTTCGCTAGTGTTGATTTGTGCCTCGGCTTTGTCCTTTATGCTTGCAGTGTAGATGTCCTTTGTGTCCTGGTCCTTCAGTTTCTGAGTGTTGAACTTGGCTTGTGGTCTATCTGCAGCTCCTGTTTCTCTGAAAGCTTTTAATTTGATTTGGATTGTCGTTTGTACGAGATAGTGGTCTGAGCCAACGTCTGCTCCTCTTCTTACTTTCGTGTCCAGTAGGCTGTGCCTCCACTTCCTTGAGCAGCATTGAGATGAAGTCAATTTGGTTTTTGGTTCGCCCATCTGGTGACACCCATGTAGCCTTGTGGATATCCTTGTGTTTGTATACGCTGCCACCAGTCACTAGTCCATTGAAGGCGCAGGAGTCAGCGAAGAGTTCTTCGTTTTCATTCATTTCTCCGAGAGCTTCTCTATCCATGATGAGTTCTCTTCCTGTGTTGTCTGATCCCAGTTTGGCGTTCATGTCTCCCATTAGTATTTTAATGTCGCCGACTAGAGTATTGTCCATTGTTGCCTGTAGTTGTCTGTAGAATTCTTCTTTCTTTTCGAGGTCTGCGTTGTTTGTGGGTGCATAGCATTGTATAACTGACACTTTCCTTCCTTTGGAGTTGAATCAGGTGGTCATTATCCTGGGCGAAATCGCCTCCCATGAGGGCCTTCGTTGCCGTTGGTGACATCATGATAACCACGCCCTCGGTGTGCATGTGGTTGTCCTTTGGGTGACCGGAGTAGATCACTGACTCACCCGTTGACAATTCGGTGAGTCTGCTTTCACATCCCCAGTACTTGAATTCCGCATCTTTTCATTTAGTTTGCGATCTGAGTAGCTTTGCCAATCTCGTATATGGTGCGGACATTCCATGTCCCCATACAGACTTTTTCTTTTGGCGCAAGGAGATTCACCGTGCTGAAGTTCCTGTGAGGCAGATGGCACGCCAATTACCCGCTTGAAAAGGCGCCTGGAATGCTGGGCAGAGCACTTCGGGAAACAGTTTAGCTGGCCACCAGCTTCAATGTCTGCTGTCATTAGCCCCAGTGCTCCTTGGTCGGTTGATACCGACCCACCCACTGAAGCGGAAGTCCATAAGGAACGAAATGGAATTCCGACCTAGGAACTACTCCCTAAGCGTTGGAGTGATTACGCCAATGAGCCACCTCACAACAGTTTCGGCAAGATCTTTAGTCCCACAGCCAATCTTCGCTCTTTTTCGATACTTAGAACCAGTTAGGAAACCAAGTTAAGTTTTCATCCATCAGTCCCAGGGTTTAATCCATAGACTCAACTGAGATAACTTAAGTCCCGCATAGAGTGAAATACCTACAGTCAATAAGGCAAGTTTTTTGCCACTAAACACCTAGATGTGCACATGACAGCAAAGCGATTTGACATATACGGAAACCACAATCCACAACACATTTAAATTATCAATATTGAGGATGTGAAATAAACTTACTAACACGAGAAATAATACTTACGTTTGAGTCATCCGAATCATTATCTTCCTCTGAAGATTTATTGTGTAACTGAGGTACCACTGTTCTTAAAGACCGACCTTTATTCAACTGAGCACAGTCTGTGGGGAAATTAACATAAAAGTAGTAGTTTTAGTAACACTTTCATACACGATGTATCAGAATAAACGTTTCAGTAAATTCCACAAAAAACAAGCTATTTCAAGTTAGTTGAATTACCTGAAGCTGTATTGCAAGGATCGTCAGCGACTGTTCCACCAAGAGATTGTAATGAAGTATTCAAGTCTTCTGCTCCTAATTCTTCTTCGCCAGGAGGATCAATAGTAAGTATCAGCTTGCGGAAATCGAGATAATCTTGTACAAGGGACTGCATTTCACTCGTACATTCAATATCCTCGTCTTTTTCGGCAACATCTTCAGCTGATAAGTTTTCCTCGGTATTAAGGTCACTTTTAACAGACGGCTGTGAATGAGAAACAAGCTCCGATTTGTGAAGTTCCATCCCAGCAGCTTTCAAGCATGGTAAGGGATGAAAATGAACACCAACGCGCCGAGTCAACGGCTTCTCCCACAACTTAGCTGAATCTGAAGGCGAGTAACGCTGAATCTTTCTAAAATACACAAAAGACGACAATGGTAATTCAGTTGGAGGTCAACCACTCATCTGATGTCGACTCATCTACTAGAAGTAAGTGTTCAAATAACAGAAAAATCCATAAAGTGTTCGTAGATATCACAGAGGGATCATGAAGAATAAGTTTAAATTTCATGCATTTCGAAATCCCTGTCGAAACAAAACAAATAAACACTTCCAATAAATAGTGTATGGAGTTGGAAAATATATCTGGAATGTTACTAAGAATATATTCCAGGTCATCAATAGTTCGCTTGAAACAGCAGAAGTCGACTAGCACTTACTAACCTTCAATGTCAAGCTATTCAAAAGTAATCACCACTGTTTCCACATCTGACTAGATAAAATGGCAGGTTTCCTTCAAGCTGGGTCTTCCCAACAGTCTCAGATACACACTTTACTATTTCTTCCCTAAATAGAGACTTCATGTTCTCATCGAGAAGTTGGGGCGTATCGGTTTCATAGGTGCTTTTATTCTATGTCTGTTCAGACGTAGGCACGCATACTCATAAAGTGGCCATATTAGCATTTTGTTTTTAGCAGCAGCTACTCTGGTTACTATTAATCACCTCACTGTTCAGAGAGGATGAAGGTGATGAACATGATTGTAAATGATGATGATGGTGATGATGACGAAGTTTTGTGTGGAAGTGTAATTGTCTGTCTGTCTGGATTCAACATAGAACTTGCCACCGAAGTGCAGCAGTTCGAGTTGCCACGTTCCAAATAGCACACAAAGGTAGACAGGAAAAGGAGAGAAGAGAATCAATAGAATTTAGATAAGTATAAGATTGAAACAGAATGAGTAATGGTAGAAAGGAATATGAAAGATTACAGAGACTGAATACATCTTTGCCATTGACAACGATTTTGAGCCATGTCACCTATTGTCTCCAGCCATTGATTCTTAGAGTCCCGAGGGCCCCAACCCGGAAGTCTGCATCTCCCTACCTGACTCAGTTTAACCGTCAAGGATTTCATGGACTGATGCCATGTTTTTGTTTGGCCACCACTTACTCTTTTCCAACCTGCACCTATATCAGCTAGTAATGCCCGTTGGGGGAGACGATGGTTAGGCATGCGCAGCACGTGGCCTAACCATCTCAATCTATGTAACTTCATAGCCTCTTCGAGTGATTTTCCCTCTTTGCCCAACACTCTACGCCTAACGTCAACATTACTTACCTTATTATACCACCTAACGCGAGAAAGAAATCGTAAACATCTGTGGTCAAAAACAGACAATCTCTTCATGTCTTCCGCTCTCAATGGCCACGTCTCACCGCCATAGAGAAGGACGGAGCGAACTGCTGAGCAGTATACACGTCCCTTGGTTGACAGTCGGATGTCACGCCTACGCCAGAGACGGTGTAAGTTAGCGAAAGCAGCCCGAGCTTTCTGGATCCGTGCTGTGATTTCGTCACCAATCAATCCGTTGGTGCTGATACAACTTCCTAAATAGGTGAAGTGGTCAACATGTTCTATCACTTCACTCCCTATCACTAAGCTTGGAGTTGACGTACTCCAGTCCTGAGGGGGTATTTACTGCATCCTAACTGCTCACACCGTGGAAGTTGGATTATGTGTACTTAACAGTGAACGAAAAAACGCAGTGAAATAATCGTTAAATGTTGAGCATCTATCAGTTTTCTAATTGTTGTTAATCTTTGATAAAATCTATCCGGTTAAGACTGTTTGAAACTATTTCAATTTGATAGAACAATCTTAATCTGGTGAGATGAACGAAGTTAAGACTTATGTAATTCATTGTCCCCAGTTGGTCTAGCTGATTCCTGTTTGACATTTTAACCAAAATAAAGTGATATATATATATATATATGTATATATATCCGTACTATCAGTACACTTTGTAAATGAATAGGAACAGTTTCACTGTATAGACTAAAACCATAACAGTGAAAAATTCGACTATCATGGCTCAAAATCTAATAAACACGAAAAGTAGTAGCAATCATACATGAATACTTGATGATTTGTAGCTGAGTATGAGGTAAATATATGTGTTTGCATTCCACTAATAATTAGTAATTATAAAAGAAATCTTGGGGAATTTATGTTAAAACGTAGTAAGGTAGACAGTGAGACACTGCACACTTACCCATCAGTGATACAGTATGATTCCTTTAGAAATTGTTTAAGCGTCAATAATAAAACACATGCACGACTTGTACGAATAGCATCTCGCATTATAGGTAGAGTTGTCTGACGTGATTTAGATAACCTGTCGAAGAGTGCAACTGGATCTTCTTCTTCCTCTATTTCAAAAGGACCCAAATCAACCCTGGAAAAACCTAAAATAAAAGCATATAATTAGCGAAATAACAAAAAAGAAATTCCAACCAACAAAAATAACAAAATTATTTCCATAACAGCATTTAACTAGCTACTATTGATACAAACAAATAGGGCGTGAACTTACTTTCGCGTCCGGAAAGGGTGTTGGAAGACAGCTCAGTCGTGGATGAGCTGCTTCCTATTACTGCGGGGTTAGACGAATTCAGACTGTTTATGCGTTGGATAGTATGCTGAATTTGATCGTTGAATAAACCAGCTGTAGCATGATCACCTCTGCTGAGAGCTTCAGTTGAAGCAGCGTGCTGTGCCTGAAGTTCGGCACGTAATTGCATTTCCATCTGCGCTCGGTTCTTCGCATCAGCTTCAAGCTGAGCAGCGACGACAGCCTCAAGAGCTGCTTTTAACTCTGGGAAAAGTGCCTCACGAACATTATTCAGAACTCCCGAACCTGCCATACTAACCATCAAATCTATGTGATGGACAACAAACAATGGTTCTTCTTGCGATTGATAGGGAAAGTGTGCCAAATTATCAGCAACATAAACTAACTGACTAAGAGAAATCCTCTGAAATAAAAAGAAATGACTAATTACAATCTGAATAAGTGAAAAAATATGCAGTTTGAAAGTTACTATTATATGCATTGCTGTTCAATAGCTCACACACTGAATTTGCAACCAACGTATTGCTAGACATTATAATTTTGTTCCACTTACTGATATTTCAGCAGTTCGGTACGATTACCGGTTCTCACACGAGAGATGCAGTCAAAAGATAGCCGATTGAATAAGACTGTATATGATGGCAAACTTTCCTACTCTTTTATTTAACTTGACAATGCTTGTTAACAAACCAAAAAACAAACATACACCCTACAAATAGCTGTAACACATGTTTCAATGAGACAAAATGATTGGGAAAAAACCATTATGTGCGGGCATTAGAAATACATATTAACACACACGAACCTGCGAGTCATCAAAGAGTGATATGAGGCCGTTTAGTAGAGAACGACGTTGACTTTTATTATTTCTCAGCATAGAATACAAATTTGAGTTGAGAGCAGTAGGGACTTCACTGAAGGGATCTCTGGTCCCACGAATAGCACCAAAAGAGTCTTCCGGAACATTGAAAGAAGATTGGTGATCAGGAACATTCGTAGGCAATGTACATCTGGAGTTATCATCAGAACCTAAGCTATCAGTCTCAACTTTATTGCGACTACTTCGACGGACAGAAATAATGTTAGTGGACTTATGAACACTTGATAATTCAGGTGAGCCAATTTGTTGTGAGGAACCACTAGGATTTACTTTCGGTTTCTCGCGCAGCTCATTATACAAAACAATTTGGAGACGATACGATAAATTCACACCCTGTGCAGCTCTCATCTGTAAGAGATGAAAAAATGCAGAGATGTTAAATATGAAAATGCAAAACAAAATTCTAAAAGTAATTTAAAAATTATACTTACCGTCAAGAAACCAGGAAATTTCGTGTCGATTTCTTGAAGTTGAGCATCAGCTTTAATACGTATATTTGGATCAACGTCGGTTTGCATAGCTATCAGATAAGGTACGGTTTGGACTGGATGAATAAGACCTTGACGAAGAATTGTTGTAATAACTGATAAGGCAGTAAGACGAACAGTGAAAAATGGTGAAAAGAATGACTCCAGTATGTTTGTGAAACTGAGCTTTTCATACATGTTGTTGTTATCGTGGTGAATCGCAAATCGACTAGATAGGAAATTCGTTAACGCAAATGCCAGTGTATTAACGGTCATGTCAAAATTGGTAGAAAGTAAAAAGCAGAAATGGAATTCTGACGCTTGGAGAAACTAATGGAGCAGAAGCTAAAAACGATGGAGTTATTACTGATCTACGGATATCAACCCTCGATGCTTCATCTTCAGCTAAAGACAGTATCGGTAGCAGCATTTCTGAATTTTTGTATGAACCAGATTCAACCACCACATTCGATACCTGGTTCCGCAGATACGAAGGCCTATTAAGAATAAAATTTGCAAGCATAAAAGCGCATGGAAAGTGAAACTTACTACGGAAGCTTTATGTAACTGAGTTGGATAAATACCGCAACCTGATTCTCCCCTTGAAGCTAAGCGACAAAACGTTTTATGAGGCTGTCCAGACACTCCGTCAACAGTCTGCTGACCAGAGATCGTTGTTCAGCGTTCGCTACCGCTGCATGAAACTTGTACTGAATGAAATGGACGACATTCACACTTAGCTTGGAGCTGCAAACCAGAGATTCAAGCCATAGTCGCTGACAGAAGATCAACTTAATGTTCTTATCTTCGTTTGTGGCCTGTAGTAATCCAAATTCGTCGAAATAAGAAGACAATTGCTGAACAAAATTTAATAAGACCTGCGAATGATACTGAAGACGTTGGTGAAGAATACCGGCGACTTACCAGCCCTTGGAAAGATACCGCCTTGATCCAGTTTTGCCTTCACAATGTACCAGAAGTAAGCGCGGTGCCTCGGCTACCGACAAAGTCAAGATCACCACATCGTCAACTTCAGACTCCGCCTTCAGCATGCTGAAATTATGAGGCTTGGCACCAAGTACATGACCCTACAAGCACAATAAATGCCGACGATGCCATATGATTGAACATAGAGATGGATATTGTGAGCAGGTTCGCCAAACAAAGTCATGAAATCGATCTCATCAACGTCTGTTGCCGAAAGCTATGAGCATCACAACTGCCCACCACTTCAACACGTCTAATCCATGTAACTTCACTGTAGTATAAATCAACTCACAGCCTAGACGTTTGAAAAAAGATACAGCATATGATATGACGACAGTGTAGAAGAGGTTTTGGCAAAAATTGGGTTGCCCCAGTTTGGAGAAGACAGACCAAACCTCAGTCACTGCATGTGGTCAGGAGTGACAGGAGGTCATTCCAGGCTAACCTTGCCAAAAAACTCCTAGCAAACCCCAAAAACTTGTATCGATTCATGTCGGAAAGAAAACCAACTAACCAGGGGGCATGCGCCTTAGTATGCCCAAACGGTCAATATCTTACTAGTCTGGAGATGGCGGAAACATTCAGTTTAGCCTTTGCCAAATAGCTAAACAGCAATATGGGTATTTCCGGTACGGACGAAAATGGTGACACTACTATTTCACCGGAGGAAGACCTAGTGGCTACTCCAAAAATCAACCCGGCAATAGTACTAGGGAAGCTACAGCGACTCACACCTGCGAAGTCCCCAGGTTGTGACGACATCACGCCATCTGTTCTGAAACAGTGCGCCGAAGCTCTCTGTAGGCCCTTATACGACTTGTTCCAACACTCGATAGATTCGGGGAAACTGCCAAGGGAGGGGAAAAGAGCTATCCTTTCTCCGATCTTCAAGAGTGGGGATAGGCGAAATGCCACTAGTTATAGACCAGTAGCTCTACTCCCATTGGTATCGAAAGTACTGGAAAGTATTATTGACGATCACATCAGGGATTGACTCGATAAGTCTAATACACTCCATGAAGCCCAACACGGTTTCAGGAAAGGCACATCCTGTGTAACAAACCTACTATCAGCTCGGGACGATTGGACATCATGCTGGGATATGAATATTCCAGTCCATGTGGTCTTCCTAGATTTTGAGAAGGCATTTGATACAGTTCACCATGACCTCCTGCACATAATAAGTCAGGCACGTATAGATAAGCAACTTCTGTCATGGTTAAAGGACTGCCTAGCTGAAAGGCAATTTTGCACTAAGGTCAATCGAAACAGATCATCTTGGCACAGCTCGTCATCAGGTGTCGCAGGGTTCTATCCTAGGACCACTGATGCTTTTTTATTTTTATCAATGATCTACCATGCCATCTAAGCTGCCCAACTCTTCTATACGCCAATATGGAGGGCGATAAAGTGTCCAGAGGACTCAGATAGACTGCAGGCAGATCTAAAGCTTCTGGAAGACTGGGCGGTGGCCAGTGGCATGACTTTCAACCTGAAAATGTGCAAGGTAGTGAAATTACGCACCTGTAGACTGCAGAATGCAAGTTACACCCTGTGCGACGAAAGCTTGTCCTGCACAACGTCGGGGTGTGACTTAGGTCTAGTTCTAACGGAAAAAATGGACACGAGCGTAAATCACACGGGGGACGCAGCGAGGGCATATGCGGCCACACACTTTACACATGGACAGTTAGATGCACTCACTCCTGAGCTCTTTCTTAGGTTGTACAAAACATCCGTCAGACCACACCTTGAAGTATACAATATTGTTGCACCCCACTGCTTAGAAGAGACGACAACCTCTTGGAAAGAGTCCAAGGACGGGCAACAGAAAGAGTGGTTCGTCTCCGAAATAAATTCCATAATGGAGTCACACTCTACCACAGTGCCCAAGTTTTATACTTATATCAATAACACTCCGAAATAAACCATATGATGAAAGGCTAAAGAAATTAGGCCTATTCACACTTAGCTACCATCGTCTTAGGGGGGATTTGATTACTGCCTACAAAATAACAAATGACCAGAATCATCCAAACAAAGGTGTTCTGCATCTGAGTAGGTATAGGCTTCCTGGTGGAAATCCAAGAAGGATAGCTCGCCAGAGAACAAGGACCTGGGTGTGCTCCCACTTCATTTCACTGCGGGTTTGCTGTCCCTGGAATTCCTTACTGGCAGATGTATCTATGGCACCGTCTGTGGACGCATTTAAGCGAAGGCTAGACAATCATGAATCGACACAAGGACTGCGTCCAAATGGCCTTTCCCCTTAAAATCCAATACACCATTCAGGGGTAGACAACTAAGTTCGTCGTTTTACTTCTTTACATTCTCTCCCGTTTTACTCTCCTGACAACTGTAACAACACATTATTATTATTACCGATATATATATATATACATAAACTTCAATTTAGTCAGCTGACTGTCGTTACGTTTTCTTTATTTCTTTTTCTGTCTGTTAGTCTGAATAACTTCACTTATCATATCTATTATTATTATCTCTTTTCTTTTGACGACGATACCGGAGGACTAACTGGTGAAAGGGTCAACTCCTTTCATAGTAGTAACAGTCTTAACACACCTCATACTGCAAACCACATATAATTAATCCCAGCACTACTCCTTTTGGAGTCCACCAAATCTACGACAGTAGAGTGGCGGGACGAGCTACGCAGAAGTTTACCGAAGACCAGGAACATTTACCTCACAATCAAGAGGCGAGCACACAGAAATCAAATTGATTTATACTGGCTCGTAAAAACTTATTGGATATTGGTGAAAAACTCCCCAAGCTTACAACAATTCTAAACTTATTCTAACCTATTCTTCGATAATGCCTTTTTATGGTAAATGAAGATTTTATCTACCCACTGTGTTCTGAAATAACGCTGATCGTGCTTAAAAAGAGAGCTGGGTGCTGAATTAAGTCTTTTCGTTCTGAAGTAACGCTAGCCCGTACTTAATATGTCCTGTGAGGGCTGGAACAACGATGATAAGCAAACCCAGTAGGTTCTGATCTACTCCTGAAAATGTCTAGAAAAAGAACAGGGTGCTGAATTAGTGCCAGTCATGCTAAAATCCTGCACCGAGTTCTAGTCTATGCCATCAAAGAATCCACTTCAGAACAAATTCAGAATTTACTCACTATAGAGTGTTAGAATTATTTCAGAATTAGTGAGATTTAATTCAGCGTTATAGTAAGCTTGGGTCCCTCTGACCGCACAGTAAGAGTAAATAATGAGAACCTGCATTAAAGCGTTTGGACTGCTTTGAAAACATGAGACTATCGGAACTCCCCCGAAGTTCAACAATAGCGACCCAGGAGTGTAAATGCTACAATGGTAAGTATTAATCTATCCTTTGGCTGGAAACCATAGTAATTCAAGCACGGGATTTTTCGGAAGACCGGAAGCAGGATGAGAGAGATAAACGATTCACAAAAACAGTTTATCTGTAGTCATCTTTGTTAATACATGTACAGAAACTAGTCTAACTTAGCAACCGATACTCCTCGTTATAACTAGGACGTAAGCCATGTTAGCGAAAGGTAATCTGTTAAATTGTTTTTACTCCTGAGCAGTATATGCGAAAGAGTTTAAGCGACAGATTCTTGGAGTTCTCTTCAGAAATTCAAAATATTGTACTAACCAGTTGCGCGGGTAGCGGAACCATTGTTTCAGGCGCCACCTGAATAACCCTTGAAGGTGTAGTGGACCTAGTAGCTAGGTAAGTATATAAACGCAATTAAAAGGACAGAACAAGTACTAACAAATACGTGTATATAAAATATTCAGTTCACTTAAGTTAATATACACAAAAATAGGACTGAGGTTATTTGAAGAAAACTATAACAGTCACAAAATACACAAATTATAGACGTACGAAATTATAGGAATGTAATTGTCCTTCTCTTGATTATACAAATTCTCCACTACAACTTAGCGCTGTCAACCGTTGGAAGGATCCACGTAGAGTAAGGCAGATAGGAGCAAAGTTCTTGACGGGGATGTGTCAACCAGTGCGAGGCAGCGTTGGTCAGCAGATGTGCTGGGCGAGCAGCCGGAGAGATGGCGAACGATTCGTTCCTTCCGCGCGGTTCAAGGTTTCTAGGTTGAATTCCTTCTTTTTTTCGTGAACATATAATTTGATATGTTTTTAGGCCGCCACACGGCTCCCCCTCTTAGAAGTCCGGAGGAACTGCTACCGACGATTTGCAGTAGAATTGTGAGAAGAAAAATAATTATAATGCTACAGAACACTATGAGAATACGAAAAAAAAATGGAAAAGATTTTTTTTTACGCTTTAGTGAATAGTTCAACATCAACTTCTGAACTGGAAGTGGGTGGGAGTACAATGGATACATATTACGGAGAGTGAACACGCACACAAAACAAAACAAACAAAAAAAAATATTCTCTTAATAAACACAGGTGAGTATATGTCAGCTCTGTTTATATGACACATGAAGGAAAAAAAAAAAAATTGCGAAAGAGATCAATGTTAATTGGAACGATGGCATCAAACTGAATGGCACTAATAATAATAATAATAATAAGGATAATGTCCGTTAAAACGCTAACCAATATAGTAGTAATTATGGGAGAACAATTGTGAATACATATATACACATATACAGTACTGAGGTAGTAAAAAAAAATAGCAATGCTTCGGCACAAAAAATGATGTCGTATCTGACACAAATAAACTACGTAAGTCAATAATTAACAACAATGATCAATGATGTATACGTAAAAAAAAAAATTGTTACAACCTTAAAGATATTAATCAGTAAAGTGTACAAAACGGGCAGGTTTATTAACCTGTCTGCCACTACGAGTAATGCAAGGGGGAGGTAGCATTATTGGCACCTCTGGAGCTTTGGCGGTTTCTTGTTTGTCTGCTGAAGTCGCTGTTGGGATGTCGTCGCCATCTGTGTAAGCAGGTTTGAGTCTATCCACGGAGACCGTCATCTTTTTACCTTCTTTGCTCACTGTGAAATATTTTTCCGCGCGATGCACTACTGGGTATGGGCCTTCATATGGAGGTTGTAGCCCTTTCCTGACGTTGTCGATCCGTATAAAGACAAATTTACAGGTTTGTAGATGGCTACTTAGGTTTTCTCTGCGGGGACATTGTCTCGGAGCTAT